TTTTTGAAAACTTTAATTAGTTTGACTACATGGACTAGTCAAACTTAGTCAAGATGACTAGGATGGGCCATGAGTGGTCTCTAGAAGTCATGTGGCATGCATGCATGAGATTTGATCAACTTTGACTTTTTAAATATTTTGAGAATTTTTTAAAAAATTTACCACTTCGACCGGTCAACTTGATCAAGATTACTCATCTATCACACTAAGGGACATGAGTTTGAAATTTGAAATGCATGCAGTAGACCAAAAACGAGTTCAACACTACACGCCTTTTATCACTCCACTGTCTTAAATCGAATGGTTACAATCCTCCAATCCATATGATAAAATGAAAGGTAGTTGATCCATCATGAATGATGTGGTGGTTCGTAGAACCCAAAGTATTAAATGTGTTATTTCAAACTATTTCCCTTTGTATTAAATGTTTTATTATAAAGTAGTCGATCATCATTATTATACTTTTTCTTTGATCACTTGATGGGGAAAGGGTAAATTTCCTAAAATGAAAATTGCTAAGGCATGATATTGGATGAGGCTATGAGAAGGCTAGAATTGTAAAGATGCAAATTTCTAGTTCTTCTGTTAACTTTTATTAGATTCAATAAAAAATAACCTTGTTATATGACTATTAACATGGCATCCACATTAAAGTTTTATTTGGAACAGTTTTTTTATTATTTTTTAAGGCTTCCTTTTAATACAAAATTTTTTATAAAAATTTGTTTCAGAAAGCAGTAAGAAAGTTGTTCCAATCAAAATCTAAGTAAAACACATTTAGAATGTCAATAATGTCAAATTCTCCAATACATCTGAGGTTTGTTAAAGTGAAAATTTTTCATCATACAATATCAAATTTTCCAATACATATGATCTTTGTTAAAGTGATAAAGTTTCAGAAGAACTCTTCATCAAAAAATATTTGAGTATAAACTCCCTAAATAATTTTCAAATGGTTCAGTACATAAACTAATGTGGAAAGATTCTTCTGTTAATTAAATCACACAGAATCAAAATTTTCACTGTTAAACAGAATCAAACAAATTTTCAACAAATTTCTTTGAAGGAATCAATGCATATATTCACAGAAGTAATTGTTCAATGTCTTTGTCGATCTTATTTTTAACTCTATATGCTTTAACACGTGTTTGTTAGAACTAAAGTGATAACGAATATGTTGAAAGTGTCAAGGGAACCTTACATACTCAGAATTGATGAGAATCAGTGTGGAGGCTTTAGCAGTCTTAGTGGAGATAATTAAAAGCAGATGGCTTCTCTGTATTTCTTTTGCTTTCGTCCACTTGCTTGACCTCCACAGATTCATTTGTCATAATCAGTATACAAAGCTTGGCATAATCAAAGAAGATTCGAGAATTGATCAGTTGGCCAAAATTAGTTTGCTGATTCCATTGGCCGAGTAAGATCTGTTAAAATTCTGCCTTCAAATTATAATGAATTGAATAATAAAAGTTTTGGAGCATTAACGCACAAAAAAACTAAAGAGGTTTTGATGTCTTTTTTCAGTGGAATGAGGCGAGTGATCGGAAGTGGAAAATATTTATATGATTATTAAATTTTGTACTATGAAATTATATAAATTTCATTTTCTTAATCATTTTTATCATTTAAACATATCCTATCACTTTCATAAGTGTCAAATGCTTGATTTAGAGCTCCACTAATGTCTAGATTAACAAATATCTAACATTGATTATGAATATTCTATGATTTATTATTCTAGAGCTATTTATTTGATTGAAGCTTTCAATAAAATCTTAGTTCAATTAATCAAAAATAAAAAAGGGTTAAGGGCTTTGTTTGGGGCAACTATCTTATTGCTCTGCTTTTCAGACCGCAATTACAGTTTCTGTTTGGCCGCTACTTTTCACTGCTTTTAGGAAGTTTTTATCCTAAGAGGCTGCTTTCTACAATATCTTTCAATAAAATTACGTTCTTCGTGGCAGTATTACATCCCTCTTTATAAAAGTTACAGCTGTCATGAACTCTAAGAAGGTGAATTGATGAGTTGATATAAATTTTATGGATCTATCGGATTACTCTCTAGCTTAGACTACTCATTTTGCTCTTAGTTTTTGTGATTGAAGTTGTCATATCTTTAAAGTAGAGCTTCCATTGCTATGTATATCCTTTATTAATCAAATTACTAATCAATATAATACTCAACTTACAATGGATGGATTTGATGGTGTGGAAGAAAAATGCTTGCAAGCATAGTTATATATTCTTGAGTACTAATGAGCCTGAATAACTCAAGCCCATGAAAAATTAGTTCACTTTTTGACTTCTTAAGTTGGTGATAGTCCTAAATTTGCACAAACTTATTATGACTAAAATCAAAATTTGCCATGAACTTGAGCAGACTTAGAAAGGTCCTTCTTTGTAAAACAAGTATATGAAGGAAGAGACTACTAGTTAATAGATGTTAGAAGTCAAAGCTCTTTGCAACCTATATATAAATGTTCATTATTTAAAGAATTAATAAGCTTAAAGTTTACATGTAGATAAACCCTATATTCATATGATATTATATGAACATAAAATCTCGCAGACTTTCACCAAAATATTTTTTGCTTTAGGTTAATTCTTATAAGGAGTTCTATTTGGTTTATAAATGTTGAAGATATTGTAATGAATTTATTCCCTGTTGATTGTGTGTGGGTTATCAACACCTAAGAAAATGTGATAACAATTCAAATTTTTCATCAACACCCAAAATTTAATTCTTTTAATTCAAGCTATATTGACTAGATCCTTGTTATTAAACCTAAATAAATTCCAATTTAGGATTAAATTTAGGAGAAATTAATCAATTCTTCTTTAATCTAAATTTCAATAAAAATTGATTTCCCTCTTTTATGAACTTTTAAAAAAATGAAATCCTTAGAGGAGTCTTTACATTTTACATTGGTTATATTAACATTAAAATATCTATCTCAAAATTTTAAAATATTTTTCCCCTTGATTTTATACAAAATTAGGCACCTTATGCATGTGTTCAACTCTTATAAAAGTGAAATTCCTAGTGGTTAAACCTTGCACTTTTTATTTATTGTGTATGATCTTAGTCTAGCCTTCATAAATCAAGTTCAAATCATTAAACAAAAATGTTCACTTGGTGTTGAAATACTAAATACAAAACTTCTAATAAAAAAGATCCTCTATGTACGTAGTGTCCCTACTTTACATTATTGTCTGATAAAAAATTTAATTAAAAAAAGAACTTGATCTTCTTCTAAAAGCCATGAATTGCCACTTGTTTTCCATTTCATAGGTTGAAGCCTTTTTCAAATAACTCATTGAGCTGTATGTAGTTTTAGAATGCTATGATGATATGAATCCATCTAATGTAGCAAAAAATTAGTTCCAATTTCCTATTAAATTCCTTGGGTTACAATGTTCCTATTTGAGTAATTATGTGTTATTCACTTATTCTAAAAAATCAAATTCATCAAATATTTTATAAAATAAGACCTAATGTATTTTATAATCCATTAAATTGCAAAGTTTTCATTCCCTTGAAGCTTTTAACCTTGAAATACTTGGCATTGTACTAGATTGGGTTCCTTCTTTAAGGTCTAAAGGAACATCAATGATTCCATATGGTGTCAATTGAGAGAACATCAGTATTTTGTCTATCATTAATAGAAATGGAAGAATTGGAAATCATTCTATAAGTAATGATTTTTTTTTTCCTTAGATTTTAATTTCTTCACAAATCCTAATCCTATGATTTTACAAATTGATATGAGTTGCCACAAACTTGAACGTAGATTTGCATATATAGCATTTAGAGGAATTTTTTTTCAACCACTTTGCATCCATAGGAAAAGAGAAATATAAATAAGTTGTCTTCGATTTCTTCTAAAAAATCTAATTCAATTCACTGTCAATGATAATTTACTGCATTGTACTGACATACTATAAAATTGATTGGAATCACTCTGAGGATATTATTTAGGTATCTAAACATAATTTCAAAATAGATATCAATGATGAAGTTTGATTTGAAGTATCTCATATTAAATATAATGTTATTAGACTGATATTCATAAAGACTTCATCAAATTTTCAATATTTTGTCAAATGTATATTGACATTTTTGTCCTCAATATAAAAGTTTTTTTAGCCATAATGTTTCTTACAACAGCCTTAAGAATAGATGATGCCACAAGATCCACAAAAAAGTATCATAATCAATAGTTTTCTAGTCAACTTTAAGGGTAAAATCTTCAATTTTTTTATATTAGTTTGCATCATTATTTCCATATACTCACTCTAGTTGTGTGACATATGATTCTTATGTTATCATAATACTACATAAACAAAATTTTATAAATATGGGTTACAAAATGAACTCAACACATTCTGACATGTTTATGGCACATCAATCTTATAATATCTAATATTAAAATCTAATAAAATTCTCCTAAGTTTTCTATCTAATTTTCTCTTTTCTTTATATTCAAACTCCATTTTTATTTATTTGTTAAATTTATATCTCACCCTCATAAATTTGATTGATTATTGTTAAATATTTGGCATCCACCTCATCTAATGTCATCCAGATTCTTTTAACATCATATTGCTTGTGATGCACATGCCCAATTATTGGTAAGCTAATAATGTATTACATCAGAGTATGCTCGCATAGTACTATGCCATGCATAGATTACATTATATGATGCACGGATAGATACCGCATATAACACACTATATTTTGAAAAATATAGAACACATGCACATGGACATGAGATAGCATGGACATGCATTGATACCCTTGGCCATTATTATAACTTTTCAAATAAATTTTAAAAGTAAAAAATAATATTTTTTTCCACATATAATATATTATTTTTATACTAATAACATAATATATTAAATGATTCATGTCATGAATATTCGATAAATTTTACGCTGACTAGTGACTACCTAATGCAACCCTCCATATTCTCTTTCAGCCTTGAGACCTGACAACGGCAATGTTAAATTTATATTATTCCGTGCCAGGGCACCCGCGCGGCCGCTCGCATCCCGCGCGCAAACTCGCATCCCGCGCTCGCTCCTTCCCGTGTAGGGTCGGGTCAACCCGGCAACCCGCCGAGTCTGGTCCGGGTTCGAATATTCGACCCGTTTACCTACCCGGGTTGGGTTAGGGTCAACCCGATTGAACCCAGATCAGTTCCGTGTTCAACCCGAACCTGACCGGTGACCCGAAATTGACACCCCTGATTCTTTGTTTGATCCTAATGGTGCATTATATAGTCACAAATAAGAGTGCAAATGAGTCGAGTTGAGCTAGACCTGTAGCAAATTTGATCTCGATTCATTTCTCAAAAGAGCAGCTCAAACTCAACAACAATTTTCATTAGAGCTCAAGAACTCGGCTTGAGATGAAATCAAGGGAGCTCTACTTCATCATTGTCATGCAAGAGCAAATTAAGTTTAGCGCAGGAAGAACGAGGCCAAAGGTCTTGGTCTCAAGGAAGAGCAAAGTTCCGCTTGACGCTATGCTCAAAGAAGGAAGAGAAATAAAGGAGAAATAACCGAAGTTCAGTTTAAATAAATTTATTAGAGCCAGCTTGCAACCTAATGACCTAAGCTTTGTCAAGCTTGAACTCGTGCTCATTTAATATGCGAGCTCAAGTCTAACCTCGAGCTTGAGCTCGTGGCTCGATAAACTTGTTCGCAAGTCTAGTTCAAATCAGCTCATGAAACGACTTGGCTCATTTACACCCTTGGCGCAAATCTCATGAACTTCAGTGACCAAAGCATGGAGATTGAAAGTGACAAAATACATAATAATATGTAAAAAAATTAAAAATAAGAGAGAAAATCAAAACTAGCATAAATAAATAAATTAACATATAATATATTAATGTTAAATAAGTATCTTAGTAAGTTTTATTTTAAAAAAAATTTGAAAAGCATAGGAGCAACTATTGAGAATAATACTATTAAGCCATAAACAAGTTATTTGTTGAATGGCAAATAACTTGTTTGTGTATGTAAATAAATAATTAAATAGGGCTTTGTTCATATTTGGTTCATTTATTCTCCAAATTTTGTAAAAATATTCAAATTTATTCACGTAAGCAAACATGGACGAGTATTAATGAGCCTAATTTGATCTTTTCATCAAGTGCATTGATTCACTTATAACTCTACTTCATTAAAAAAAAAAAGAGCCAACTACAAAAAAAATTATATTGAAATTAAAATATAAGAAAATCTATAAGTAAATGTTCATTTAATAGTCCAAACATACATAAATAACCAGAAGAAGTTTCTTTTCATAATAGAAATCCTCATGACAAACATTACTTGAAAGAAAAGAAAGCATAAAAAGATTACAACAATGACAACAACAAGCCTTTGTCCCACTAAAAAGATTTAAAAAAAAAAAAAAGACTTCAAACAAATTTCTCATAAAATTCATCTTTAGAAGAGGTCTGAACTATAAAGTATTTGTCAAATATCCGATAAAGTATATTTTTAAAATTTCTCAAGAAATTTTGAATATATTTCAATTTTTCTTAAGCAATTTTAGTTTCATTTTCTTAAGAAAATTATTAAAATGTAAAATAATTATATTATTTGCTCCCTTATTTTTAAATTTTTGTAATCACATTCATTTTACTTAATTACTCTTCAAATTAAGCGCCATCTAATTTTTTTTTCTAAATAATATCATTAGGAACAACAAATCTTATCAAATGTTATAGTGCAAACTCACATCTAACAAAAAATTTCCTTGACTATGATGGCTTAGCAAATTTTCTCATTAAAATCACTATTTTCTTCAAGTGTCAATACTAAGGCACATCTTCCTACCAAATTCATTAAAATAAATTTTTAAGCACGGCTAATCAGTTGAAAATTTTAACTTTCTTGGCCTTAGCCGGAGCTTGAATAGAAATCACAAAGATCTTTCACAAGTTGATCTTATTAAAAAAATCTACAATCATTTTTGTTGATATCCTTATCTCTTCTTCCTCTCTTAAGGTAACTAGAGCATAGGTATTTCCCTTAGTTTTTCTCTTAGGATATATTTGAATCCACTCCTTGCACTAAATAGTTACTCCAATGTTAAGATATGCAAACTAGTCATGTTGGCCACCTTACCAACTTCAAAACTCTTAAGTAGTTTGTTTCCAATGAAAAATTTCTTATACATAGTTTCTAGATTTTTCCTTCTATAGTGATTTGTACATTTTTAGTAAGACCATTGTTAAGTCAATATAACCAATGTTCTCTAATAGTTGGTTGAGCCAATATAACTGAGTCGTGTTACAAATGTTAATCATATTCAATAAGAAGAGAGAACCTTCTTGCCCAGTCACCTTACCTACTCACCTTTGAATATATATATTGAACACGGCAAGACAAATGATATACTCTCCATAGAGCTTGTTATAGTTACTCGCCTTCACATTAAAATAAACTTTTAGATAAACTCAAGTAAACTAACTCACTCATTTAAGAGGATTCTTGAATGTAATTCGGCTCATAGAACTCAACTTCAATGTGAAATTCTAAAGGCATCTCCAACCAAAAAACCTAGTTTCCACTTCAAAATGCAGTAACAGTCACATCAAACAGTAATTCATCTCCAACAAACCAAACTATATTTCTAATGCCAAAAAATATAATCTTTGTATACTCTTTCTTATCACTATTTTTATTTTATTTTCAATCATGCTTTTATATTTATCAATATTTCAAATTAGAATGAAGAACCTAATTTAAATTATTTAAAAAGAAGAACCTAATTTAAGTAAGTTAATTACATAAAAACATTAAACATATTAAAATAAAAAAATTAATGGCATAAGTTAAACTAATATATTTGGGATCAAAATCTTAAAATTTAATAATTTTATGATAATTTTATAATTAAATAAATAAAAAAAAGTTTCTGAACAGTGCGAGGTTAATATTGATTTTGTAGTATTCACAATCGTAGAAATGCGTATTCATATGCCGTAAGGAGATTACCAAGTACATGGACATGATTGCTCTTGGCTATCAAGATTTATTCATTTAACAATATGTACTATTTATCAAGTTTTGCTTCATAATTTTACTTATATTACTTCATTATAGAATTATGATAGAATTAAATTCTGACCTAAATTTATAAAAATAGGGCCAAAAAAATTGCTCTGAAGACTAATAAAGTTTCTCCCCCCCCCCCCCTCTCTCTCTCTCTCTCTTTATATTTCATATGATTCATATGCTATTACCAAGTCAAAAAGTTTCTTACATGTAAATAAGGAGTATAATATTATATTCTACATGAAAATAATATATAATTCCAAGTTAAATTGAAAATAATAAAATAATTAATAAACTTTAATGATTGAAATAATTTCTCTTTCTAAAATACCATAAACCAATCAAGAGTTTAGCCAAAGACTTATAATCAAATACTAAGATCTCTCTCACCATGCCCTAACTTTCCTTACTGGAGCTAGACTACAGCCGTGAGGTTAGCTACTTTCCTCCTTCGACGGAGCACAAATGTAAGGATAATGTTGTTTTAATATATCATCCAATTGTCATTATTGTGTTTTTTCAATTAAATAGATGTTGCAAATTTTGTAATCTCTATTTTTTAAAATTTTATGTTGTAGGAATATTTGATATTTTTAGGGAATTAACATGTGCATTTTTATAAAAGAATAAATTATTATCTCAACAAAATGGTTGAGCTAAATTGCATAATGAGGAGATATTTATATATGATTTGTTTACTAAATATGATTCCTTTCATATCAGATGGGAACTCCCATTAAGCAATTAGAATGTATTTTGAATTAAAAAATTGTAGTGCTCATTTGTTCATTTATAATTAGAAAGAATGACTTACCTCTGAGGATTAAATTCTAATTTTATCAAAATTAATAGAAGACATTCATAGTTGACTTTTTAATACAGGTGGCATAATTAAAGAAAGCTATAGAAAAAATTGAGTTATTTACTAGGTGTATTTTTACTTAAAATAACTATTAGATTGAAAATGTGAAGTACAATTAGTTTAGCGTCTACGACAATTTTAAGCTTGAGACAAGTTCACACTCTTTAAATACTTTACATCTCATATAAACTTAGGGTCTCTAACAACCTCAAGTTAATAAAAACTTTAGGTCTTTGACTACTCTAAATCTAAGAAAAGTTCAAGAACTTTGTCAACTTTAAATTTAAGATGAGTTCAAATTTTTTGTCATCTTCAAATCTTAGATGAGTTAAGAGCTTATTACAACTTGATTGATTATCCTAATAATTAATCTATTTTGGTGGAATTTAAGCTTAATCTTGACTAAAATAGGACCACAAACAAAACTGTTGTATCACTTGGTAGATGATGATAAGGATGATGATGATGACATACCATTTGTAAGAGTGGTTTGTTGCATTCTATTGTAATTTCAGTTGATTTCTCTTCTTTTATCGTCATATCTCAGCAACCACTTTATCTGGATGGTTGTTTCAGCAACTTGGGGAGTTCTTCTATGATGAGGTAATTTTGAAAAAGGTTTTTTTTAGCAATTTTGGCGGCCATTGTAGTTCATTATCCATTTGCTTATTACAATTTTTGGCAAATAATTGGTGATCACTACAGGAAAATCAGCATTTATCGGAGGTAATTTTGGCAGTCAAATAACGGCCAGAATTACCGGCGGTTAAACCGGCTGTTGGACCACCAGTATTAACCGGTGATAAATCGACGGTCAACCGGCGGTCTAGCCGCAGGTAAAATCTGCATTTGAGATGGTCGGTACACCACTGGTAAATTACCAGCGGTCGCCGGCGCTATGATCGCCTAAAATTATCGGCTGTGTTGCCTATTTGTGCTAAGTATTACTTTCTTTGAAGTTCTAATCACTTTTATATGGCTACTGTAGATTCATATTTGTAGTGGACGTGGTCGTTACACCTTCTTATGTTGTTGTGGTTGTTATCAAATATCTATGATAAATGCTTAGTTTGTTGAGTTTTTTGTACCTCAATCTGATTGTGTTTTCTCAAATTATTATTATTTATATTTGTGCCTTTCTCTACCTCATAACACCTATAGATTTGAAAAAATATTTTTCAAAATGTGGAAGTGACACCATATGAATTTTATATGAGGAAAGTTTTTTTTTTCCTCTCATTTATTTAATTTTATTCCCATTTAAAACAAAAAATGAAAAGAAATTATTTACCTTTATATGAAGAATCAACATTGCTATTATGTTATTTCCATTTATATATTAGTTCAATGGCATATATATAGCTTTCGCCCCATGCTTTCTCATGTCTTCTCACACAACATGACCGTTCGTATGTCAAGACAGAAGAAATGATGGAGATTAGTTGAAATAAAATATCATGTTCAAAATGTAATTTTTGAAACACTTAAGTATTTTGACTCTTTCTAAAAGGTTTATTCATGTTTGGCAAAGAGGGATGCAAAAAATTCTTTAAAAATATGGAAATGATTCCAAACTTCTCTGCTTGTATTATGCTGGATGAGCTTACTCTAAAAGCTAATGAGAGAGAAAGAGTTTAGTAGTTTTGTTATGGGACTATAAGACCCATGCAGAGTATGAGCACAATGGTTAGGTGTCATGCTAATTCGGTAATTTCCTCTTAGTTACTTTGGAAGCCATCGAAGAGGATTAGTGATTGCTAGTGTATTCTTGGTGTGCTTTTGATTGAGAAATATGGGTTGCTTCTCTTTTTCATAGGTGTGCAACAACCTAATTTTTCAATATGGTTTGTGTCTCCTTATATATTTTTTAATCTTTTGTACATATCTATTGATTTTGCCCATTTTATTTGTGTTTTTCTTGCACCTTTAGTACCAAAAGGCTCTGTATTGGATTTTATTTTTTTGTCTATGAATATGTTACTATTTTTTAAAACATTATGATATTTTTTAACTTTTGTAAAAGCATTTTAATGTTGATCCAATGTGAATATGAAGCCTAATTTAGTTAGCACACAAGAATAAAATTCTTTTGTGCTCCTTTTCATAAATGATATATCTCTCGTTTTGATTGAGATCAAATGTTCTATGCAATTTGTGATTAACTACTCATACATTGAGGAATCTATCTCTTGTTCTCTTTCTTAAGTCTAAGATATAGTCACATGCTCTTGAGTTGCTTGTTAGTTTTGCAAGATTTAACGTGTGTTCACCGCTTTATTTTTCTATTATAAATATTGTTTTTTTTTTCAAAAATTGTGAGCAAATTGAGTGTCATTTGAGGATGTTTATTTGTGACAATATGATTTCCATCTTGAATTCGCATGTGGAGAAAAATGTTTTGTTTCTTGAACATTGAACGATGAGTATGTTTGGTTGAAATACTAAAGCAAAAACCATTTTCAGGTAGCTACAATGAAGACAATAGATAGTGCTATGAAAATTGTTGGATAAATGGGCATTGGTGAAGAAAATATTTGATATTTATAAAGACC